CTAGGAGACTTCAGGTAGACCAGCTTAATATAATCTATTTCGCTGTGAATTTAAATTTTATTCGTTTATTTATAATCCTAATTACATTGTTTCTGTAACCAAACCCCTCACCCCGAATGTCTTAATAAAAACTATATTATTAATATAATATTATTACACCTAAAAATTTTATTATTATTCTTTAGTGGAATCGCGACTGAATTATGCTATACTAAGTTGGAGCGAAGCTGTATACTGTCATTTAAAACAATTAGATATTCTACAGAAAAAATATTAGAAATCATTTATAGTAAAAAAATCACTTTTCCCTCTGACTTATTATTTTTTGAAATTGTTATTTTGGATATAAGACAGCTCTTTATGCAATAAATAATAATTTACCTGCTTAAAATAAAAAATATTTTAAACATAATTAGCCAGTCACTCTACAAGATATAAAATCTGATGTGTCCAACACATGACTTTCCTATCTAGTTATTATAGGCATTTTCCGGTTATTTTGTACAACCTATTGCAGCATCTCTATAAATGTTTAGAGGTTAAACTAAATATATACATGTTACACATACATTTTACCCATACATTTACCTCGAAACATTTTCTTATAGATATTCATTGAAAACGAAAATACTGAAAAATTTAAATTTAGCACTTTTCCATTACGGTCCATTTTAGAAAAATCATGTATAAACAAAAATTATAGAAATCGATATCGCAAACAACTTTTAGTTCAACAATTTTTATAAAAATCAGAATTTTGCACATTTTGTCAAATTTCTCGAATACGGACCATTTCAGGAAATTTTGACATAAAACAAAAATTATAGATAATTATATTAGAAGTAACTTTTTTTCGAACAATTTTCTTCTCCAAACATAAATAACAGATATATTCCATAAAATATAAAAACAGCCTCCCATAAAGTACCCCCCAGATGTTCCGACTTTGTCCAAAATCCAATCATTTCACGTCAGGCCGAAATAAACCTTAAGTTTAAAATTTAATGTTTTTTCCTTTATCCGTTTTTGAGTTTTCTTCAAATTTCGAAATTTACACATTTTCTCAAATATCTCGAATACGGTCCATTTTAGAGAAATTATGTATAGGACAAAAATTATAGAGAATTATATTACAAACAACTTTTATTTGAACAATTTTTATAAAAAATTATTTTTTTTACATTTTGTCAAATTTCTCGAATACGGACCATTTTAGGAAAATTTTGAATAAAACAAAAATTATAGATAATTATATTAGAAGTAACTTTTACTTGAAGAATTTTCTTCTCCAAACGTAAATAACAGATATATTCCATAAAATATAAAAATGACCACCTATAAAGTACCCCCCCACATGTTCCGACTCTGCCCAAAATCTAATCAGCTCATTAGACGCTGAAACAAAGCTTAAGTTTAAAATTTGGTGTTTTTCTGTGTATCGGTTCATGAGTTATGCGTTATACAGACACACACACACACAGACACACACACACACAGACACACACACACACAGACATCATCGCGAAAATAGTCAAAACGGATTCAGGGGACCTCAAAACGTAAAAATCCGTCGAAAACTCGAAGTCGAAAAAAATCATGATTCCTATACTTTCCTTATATCTGTATACAGATAGGAAAGTAAAAAAAAATACTGAAGATATTATGTAGAAAAAAATGTTTACCTCAGATGTTATACTCACCTAGCATTCAAAATATATTATAATTTACCAGACATTTATAAAATATATTTGCAAACACTCAATTCAAATATGTTTAAATCTATTTTTGAAAAATATATTGTAATGACGGGTAGACAAGAAACTAGAAGTACTGATATATATTTAGCCTCATTCAAAAATTCAAACTAGTAATATTTTTTTATAACTTATATAGAACCATTTAAATCATCCTATAATCACTTGTATCTTATGTTTATCTAATATACACATATTATAATATCCTCGTTTTTTGTACTTTTAAAATGGAATGTGTATTTTTTTTTCTTTTTCTTATTTTGTATTGAAAGAAGGAATAAACATAATTAATAATATTATAATGAATATAATGAAGCTTATTTTTCTATTAAAGTTTATAGAAAAATATTGAAATGTCGAACTATTTTTTTTTAATTACACAATAGTTGATTCTTCTATATGAAATTAAATTTTAAAAATCTGATGTGTCCAACACATGACTTTCCTATCTAGTTATATAAATGTTTAGAGGATAAACTAAATATATACATTGTCCACATACATCTACCTCGAAACATTTTTCTATAGATATTCATGGAAAACGAAAATACTGAAAAATTTTAATTTCCTACAATTTTTTTCATTACGGTCCATTTTAGAAAAATCATGTATAAACAAAAATTATAGAGATCGATATCGCAAACAACTTTTATTTCAAAAACTTTCATAATAAAAATCAGAATTTTGCACATTTTGTCAAATTTCTCGAATACGGACCATTTCAGGAAATTTTTACATAAAACAAAAATTACAGATAATAATATTAGAAGTAACTTTTATTTGAACAATTTTCCTCTCCAAACATAAATAACAGATATATTCCATAAAATATAAAAACGGCCTCCCATAAAGTACCCCCCCCCCCAGATGTTCCGACTTTGTCCAAAATCTAATCATTTCACGTCAGGCCGAAATAAACCTTAAGTTTAAAATTTAATGTTTTTTCTTTATCCGTTTTTGAGTTTTCTTCAAAATTCGAAATTTACACATTTTCTCAAATATCTCGAATACGGTCCATTTTAGAGAAATTATGTAGAGAATAAAAATTATAGAGAATTATATTACAAACAACTTTTATTTGAACAATTTTTATAAAAAAATATTTTTTTTACATTTTGTCAAATTTCTCGAATACGGACCATTTTAGGAAAATTTTGTATAGAACAAAAATTATAGATAATAATATTAGAAGTAACTTTTATTTAAAGAATTTTCTTCTCCATACGTAAATAACAGATATATTCCATAAAATATAAAAATGACCACCTATAAAGTACCCCCCCAAATGTTCCGACTCTGCCTAAAATCTAATCAGCTCATTAGACGCTGAAACAAAGCTTAAGTTTAAAATTTGGTGTTTTTCTGTGTATCGGTTCATGAGTTATGCGTTATACAGACACACACACACACACACACAGACATCATCGCGAAAATAGTCAAAACGGATTCAGGGGACCTCAAAACGTAAAAATCCGTCGAAAACTCGAGGTCGAAAAAAATCATGATTCCTATACTTTCCTTATATCTGTATACAGATAGGAAAGTAAAAAACGGCACTAAAATTTTTAGATAAACTTTTATTTTACGACTTACCCAGCACAGGTTTCTGCAATTCAGTTAAAGGCTGAACAATGTTTTTTCATAATAGCTGGAATATAAATTATATTTTACTTTTCAAGAAGAAAATAACTAAATATTGATTTTATAAATAAAATACTCACGCTTTCATTATATTTCGACGACTTTTCCCTTTAGCACAAAACGTTAAATGTCCTTTATCAAAACTTCTTCTACCCATGTTCACTCAAAAGCGCTTAAATCGATAAAAATGTTATGTTCTCTTCGTATATAAAACAAATAACTAATTCGACGCGCGCCTCTGGTAACCCTTCGATCACAATGTGCAACTGAGAATAAGCGAACAGGTTAAAATAAGCGGTGGCAGCACCTTACGGAGTTTTAATACAAAAAGGTGGGAATACTTCTCATTTAAATTACACTTGATATATAAAAAAAAAACAAAATCGGCAAAATATTGCAGGTTTAGTACAGTTTTGAGGAGAAAACTTTTTTTCCAAAAGTCGATTAAATAGTTGAAAAAAAAAAATACGTATCGAAGGTTTACAAAAAAAATGAAGGACTGTCACGGAAACAATTATTACTTCCCAATTGCTATCTGAATTTTCATAAATATCGAATAAAAAATAGCAAATCTTTAAGTAATCGCAGTTTTGTGTGTGTCCGGTTTCTTCTTAAAAATATTTTCGTATTCGTTAATTTACTTCTGTCATTATTTAAACAGATTTCTTTAAGATAGTCCTCTAATGTATTTTAAAGATCCGTTTAAATAATGACAGAAGTAAAGAAGAAAATATTTTTAAAGGCCGTTAAATATAAAGGAATTGTTACAGAATAGACCCCATTGTCTATTATATATATTTTATTTTATAATGTATTTTACTTAACACTTTTTTGACTAGTCTGATAGGATTTTACATTATGTACCTAGTGTTTTTGTATAGGGTATAATTCTCAAAGATGAATAAATTCTATTTCTATGTCTCTCCAGTATTTTTTTCTCGGTAGTTGGGTTTCTTTCTAGTCTTTTTTCCTCGAAAGTTTGGTTTCTCTCTAGTCTTTTTACATCTAGAGGTTATTTTCTCTCGATTCTTTTTTCCTAGAGAATAAAGTTTCTCAAGGGGTGGTTTTCTCTTGAATTGTTATATCTTGAATAACACAATTAGATTTTTTAAAACTATTTTATTACTTAAAAGGTATAATGTGTTTGTTGTAGGTGAGTTGTTATAACTGACTGACTTTTAATGTGTCACCCCTATTTATAACATAGGTAAAACAAAAGAAATATCTAAAAGGTGTAATGTGACAAAAGTGTTGCATTTACAAGAAAATGCAACTTGGCTGAATACAATCCTAGAGGTCAATGATAACCATTCTAGGAATTGCAACTAAGCATTATTTAACTCTAGAGAATTTACTATTAAATAATATATAGAGTGAATTTTTTATATAACATATATATATATATATATATATATATATATATATATATATATATATATATATATATATATATATATATATATATATATATATATATATATAATTTACATCTTTCTGTCAAACTAAATTAGCATTAAAACGATTTTTAACAAATATTTAATAATTAATATCCACCATGCTACATTTTAATTACTATCATTCATAATTTCTTAAAACGTCTTTTAGAATGACAAACTAGTAGAACATCAAATATTCCGACTATTCCACAATGAAAGGGAAATGAAAAACCTCGAACAAGATCTCAAATCGAAACAAAAGGAAGTGGACAAAATCGAAAAGAAAAAAGAAAAATTCGAAGACGTTCTTAAAGAAAAGAAAAAAGAACACGGCAAATACAATCGCGATCTGGCCAAAATCGAACAAGATATTAGAGAAGTGGAAGTGGAAATATCCAAAAAGAAGCCGCAATTCATAAAAGCCAAAGAAAGGGTGACTCATATGCAGAATAAACTCGATGGTGCGATTAAAACTTTGGATAAAGCAAGGAAGGCACACGAGGCTCATATGAATGATATAAAAAAGTTAGAAGATGAATTGCACACTGTTGAAAAGAAAAAAGAAGAGTACGAAACTCAAATAGCTGGAGAATCTCAGAGTCAAGGGAAAGACGTCCAACTTGAAGATGCTCAAGTAATTACCACAAAAATAATTCTTCAATTTGTTATTATTTATATAAATTTTCAGATTAGACAGTATCATCGATTAAAGGAAGATGCAGCAAAAAGTTCTGCAAGATACATGCAAGAACTCGATTCGGTAAACAGAGAACAGAAAGCTGAGCAAGATCGTTTGGATAATATTTCTAGAATGAGAACCGACGCTGAAAACAAGCACAGACAAAAACTTCACGAAATTGAGGAAATGGAAAAGAGGATTGAAAAACTAACTGAACTTATCAGGTATTATTAATAAAAAAAAAAAGATTTAGAGCTGATTTTTTTCACCTCTGTAGTTACTTTTAACTTAATTTATTATTTTTTTTATTGTAAATTTATTAAAATCTATTTTTGGCATTATTATATAATAATTATTATATTTTTTAATTTAGAACCAGCCAACAAACGTTACACGATCAAAAACAGACAAGAGAAGGCTTGAAATCTGACGTGGGCTTTTCTAAAGGTAGAGTTCACGAAATTCAAAAGCAATTGGAAGATGTGATGGAACAACTTGGTGATGCAAGAACTGATAAACATGAAGATGCTAGAAGGAAGAAAAAACAAGAAATTGTGGAAAGATTCAAGAGCAATTATCCTGGTGTGGTGAGTCAACATTTTTTTTTAATACTTTTTAGTTGTTGTGTAGGTACCAAGATTCAAATTTATTTTTTTTTAGATGTGCATTTTTAATTTGATATTACATGTTTAAAGATATTGTTTAAAAAAAAAAGTTTTATATTCCGTAGGTTTTTGGCCAGCTAATATCAAGTTCTTTGACAACATACTTTATTTTTAATATATTAGCTTCGTTCGCGGTAACAATTCTGAATTTTTACCGCACGCGCAATCCCTATTATTTCTCGGTGTTTCAGGTATAGACAAGCGGTTCAAAACGAATAATAATTTTACCACGAACACAGGATAGAACCAATAGTTCAGTTCCTTTTGTTCCGCGAACACTTTTTAACTACTGCGCCTGCGAAATCGTTACTATTAGTAATAATTCGGTTCAGGATTCTTACCACGAACAAAGCTATGAAAAAGTATTTTACAGGTTGAACCTAAACCATCCCAGCAAACATTTTCTATAACATTAGTTATAACTCGACTTTGTTAAAGTAAAATTGACTAGAAAAATATACCTCTAATGTAAATTTACGAAACGGTTTTAATTTATATTTAAATTTACGTAAATTATACCAAGAAATCTACCTTTTACACAAATCTGCTTAAAAGTAACTTTAACCATATCAACAAGGGAAAACTAATAAAAAAAATAACCAACAATTACTTCAAAGTAAAATTTCTTTTGTAGTAAAATTAGGTGCCATATTTAGGTAATATCCACCTGTTTGGCAACTAAAAATCGTCTTTATAGTAGAATATCCAATTAGGTAGATTTGGTTAAAAATTCTACGTAATTTTATGCCTCCATAGTAACCTATTTGGCCGCTTTTATTTACTCTCCTTTAAAGTAATATTAGGTCGAGATCGTACCAAAATTCTACCTGTTTATCTACCTAATTTCAACCAAATAGTCGAATACTCATTTAGTTGACCTATAAGTCATCTTGAAGAAATATTTATTAACTTTGTTGTAGCAATTACCTGAAAAATCTACCACAAAGTAAATTCGACTAAAAACCACCAATTTCAAAAGAGTCATACATGACCTATTTGTAAAATTTATATTATTTAGCTTATTTTAACAATTAGGTTGTTCAGTTACTGTCTTCGTCATTATTCTTAAGAATTTCGGCCATTTTAAAAAAACCATTACAGTCGTAATCTTAATTTATGTGTGATGTAGATAGAGCTTTAAATGAGTGCGAAAAATAATTAATAAAATGAGTTCGAAAAATAATAAATCATATCGTTATACTTCCGATTTTTATCGTAAAGTGAAACGTCTAAAATCTCAAGTGCAGAACAACGTGACCTAAATATGTTATATTTACCTACAGGTAAATTTTTTATAAAACCTTTAAGTTATTATTTCTTTAAATAGGTAAAGTTAACTAATATGTCGTGAAATTAAAGTTAATTCAACTTAGTAAAAATTTATTTGTAAAATACGTAGATTTCCTTAGTCATAATAACTTTTAGGTCGAATTCGCCCAATACGCCATATTTTCTTAACGTAATTGAAGTACGATTCCAAATTTTAAATTTTTAAAATGACCATAACTAGAACATACGAATGAAAATACCGAAAAACGAAACATTATTGATTTTCTAAAGTGATACACAACAAACGTAACGTAGTTTTAGCTCATAATATTATTATTTTTTTACACGATCATATTTTTTTCTTATATTTTTTTAATTAGGGAGTATTTTGGAAGGGCATTGTTATTTTTCTAAGTAGAACTGTTAACATGCACGACAAAATTTTCTTCGGATTAATTTCAACAAGCGTGAACTGTATATTCACCGCAATTACATTACATATATTTTTGTCACCGACATTTATTTATTTTCAATCTTTGATGTGAATTAGGTATATGTTTTAGTTGTGTTGGTGACTTCTTACAATATTTCTACTTATATATAGATAAAAATACCAAATAAGTATAAACTTTCTTTTAGTACACTTTGAGGCATACGTCATCTACAAATATTTTGGTAGTTTCTACCTAAACTTAGTTAAATCAACGTCGAATTAAGGTTATACTGACGTCAAATTTCCCTAGAGAGGTATTACTAACCAAACGTACTGGGCTACTACAATGTGGATTTAGATGTAATTCTATCTATTTTGGTAAATAAAACCAAATTTCGACGGCGTCTTATTCTCCACTTATGTCGAATCCACGTAAATTTTACTTAATTATGGTTAAATCTAATTTTGCGACCAAATTTATTATATATAATTTAGGTAGTATCGACGTCAAATTACACCAAAATGTTTGCTGGGATCCCTAACCTTTAATTTTTCTTATTGCATTTGTATGGTTTTTTTTATCAATATGATTTGTTTACCCTCATTTCACAGCGTATGTAGACGAATAGTTAAATCGTCTGATTTCCGAATACACAGGGTGTTTCAAAAAGGTTGAAACATAGCTTAAGTATTGAATTGGTTAAGTAATCAAAATTTACAAAATAATTTGGCTAATAAAAAAGTAGGTTGCGATTGACTTTTATAATTTAAAGTTAAGCATGTTCTGTAACTACACTGGTGAAAAAATTAAGGGATAAAAAAAAATCTCTATTTTTTGCGATTTTTCGAGTGGTTGTATCTTTGGTAAAAATGGTTGTACGTGAATGAAAAAAAAAGCAATTTGAAGCTTGAAGTGTCTAGTTAATGGATCCTGCGATAAAAAAAAATTCCAACCAACAATTAGCACAAAATCCTGATGAATATTGTAGATAGAAAAAACGCGATCCTTCAATTTCATCAAAAATTCACTTGTATGAAACAATGAAACGGCTTGATGGATCAGGTTAGAATGTACATTATTCATTTTCCCAATATTCTCAATGTAGCCCGTGATTTTCTAAAAAACCTCAAAAAGACCTGTTTTCCAAAATTCTTCAAAGTTATGCTAGGAATAAAAAAAAATTTTTCTCGTAAAAGAACATGCCAGAGCCTTGTAGAGAATGAATCGAAGTTTTAGAAACCCCCTTTCCATTTTCTGAGCGGCCATTGCTTCCTGAGATATTGACGAGAGAAGAGGAAATGACGCATTTTCGTTCATTTTCTGATAACTCAGCAAGGAAGAGTCATCTCGAGACCATAAAAAAAAAAGAAATTTATGTTGAGAAAATTTTTTTTTAAATTTTCTATTCATGATATTCATTAAGATTTTGTGCTAATTGTTGGTTGGAAATTTTTTTATCACAAGATCCATAAACTAGACAAATTGCTTTCTTCTTTTTTTTTCATTCACGTACGACCATTTGTACCAAAGATACAGCCACTTGAAAAATCGCAAAGAGATTTTTTTTTTTTGATTCCTTAATTTTTTCCACTAGTGTAATATTTAATATTTTCTTTAGAAATGTTTTTTTGTAATTTTGTTGAATGGTGAAATTTTGATAAGTACGATTTTGTGTCTAAATTTTTTTAATTATACCTAAATATAGTAGTTAAGAGGAAAATAAAACACAGTTAACAGATTTTTTTATTATTATAATACAAGCATGAAGGGAGATTTGGAAATGTTTATGATATGGCTACATCCTTTAATTCGGGCTTTCGCCTTTTTATTTTGCTATCAGTACCATCAGTAAAAAGAGTCATAATATTTTGAAATATCGTTTAAAAAGTGCCAGAAAGTGCTTCATCAGCCCTAGGAACTGTTCTAAGCGTTTGGGATACTATAAAAAAATTACCATGACAAAATTGGGGATCAACAAAAAAATAACAGTAGAAACACTTTATCTAACATTAAAATTCTATAAAAAATAAACAAATTTTCTTTTCTAGTAAGTTAAATTTAATGTATCATTATTGTTGTTTGTAAGTCAGGATCTATGACTGTAAAATTTTATTTTATAGAAATTTGCAATAAAATAAACTACACTCCGTTATACGTGTTGTGGCTAGTTTACAATTAATATTATATTTAGTCAAATACTTTATTTTACTTCTATTGGAATCTTTAAAAAGACATTAAATTGATTTTTCCTTGTCTTTTCTTTAGTTTTACATGTGATTTGTATCCTGTTTTACAATTTATGAAGTAAATCTTGCTTTAATGTTTTCTGTAACTCTTGTTACTTGTATTCAAGTACTTTTTTCTTATTTTGATTCTTTTCGCCGATTTTTTAAAAAATCACTTCTTCTTACATTGTCTTATATAGAAAATGAACGTCAGTGACGTTCGACCTGTCAACTACAGTCAATTTAGCGAACTTTTTAAAAAGAAAGATAGAAATTTGAAATTTAAATGTTGCCGATTCGCCTCCTATCTAATCTTCATAGGTACCTTTTGCAGATGTCTGGAAAATAATTTAACATTATTGAGGAATTAAATAGTAAAAATAATAGATGAATCAATGTGAAATTATATTTTTTTAAAAAGAGTGAAGGAATTTAGTATACAATTAAAAACTTTTTGTACCGAAAACTTGATAGGAGGAATATAAAACGTGTTTTTGTTATATCTAAATTAATATTTGATAAGTCTGCTTTTTCATGACTGTAAGTACTAGAAAAATGTTCAGAAAATAAATCAGCAATGCTTTGGGAGGCATCACCTGCCTTATATTATAGTGTCAGGTAAAAAGAGTCAATTTTTAAAGATTTATAATTGGTCCAGAAAAATTTTGGATTAACATAGGTGAGATAGGTAATTTTTGTAAGATTGCATAAATAGGAACTTACACAGTGCTCTTAAATTTGAGAAAATACAGAAATCATTGAGGTTGCATGCGCTAGTTTTTTTTTTCTCAGTAATAAACTTCTTCAAGTCTACTGAATCCCACTTTGGAAAGATAGAGCTTTTCAATTTTAAGTGGAACAAAACAGTTTATTGCATTGTTAAGAATTTGATAAAAGTTATAAAGAGCTGAATCTAAATCATTAACAGCAAGAAATTGATCCCAATTGAACGGCACAAAATAATTATTTAAACTAATGTAGCATTTTTAAAATAAAAATATTATTCATTAGTTTTGAGTTTTTCAAACGAATTATTGTTATTATTTTCTCAGACCTTAATAAGGTTCTGTATGCCATACCTTCTAGAAAGGCAGTCGTTTGTCTTTCACAACGGTCATTCGTCACAGGTGTACTTTGCAAAATCAGGCGTCTCTCAAGGTTCTAACCGTGGACCATTGCTAGTTTTGTTATTTATTAATGATCTCGATCACCGTTTAAACTCTTATGGACTCATTTATTCAGATGACCTTAAGATATACCTGTCAGTATTAGATATGTATGACTGTTTAGCGCTTCAGATTGGTGCATGCAAAATGGGTCAATGTTGAATGCATCAAAGTGTAAAGTGATAGCATACACTAGAAAAAGATCAACTATAGATTTTTATTATAATACAGTGCAATCTCTTTAATCCGAACACCTAGTTGTCAGGCCTTGTTCGAATTTACGAATATACAATAAAACACCTCTTACACATTTTTAAACCTTTATATCTATGTATGTAAATTGATTTTTGTACATTTAAATGCATTATCAAACTACATATGGGCGACGCGGGCCGCGCTGCAGGTCTTTTTCTATCAGCGTTCGGATTACAGAGGCGGCGTTCGGACTCTCTCGCAGCACGATTTGCGTTCGGATTAGCGTATTTCGGATTAGCGTGGGTTCGGATTATCGAGGTTGCACTGTATTAATAGTTTGGTATTGTCACGTTGTTCCTCAATCACTGATCTGGGTGTCACTTTCGATTCAAGGCTGAATTTTGTTGAGCACATTATTATGAAGGTTTCTGATGCAAAAAAAAATGTATGGTTTTGTTATACGAAACTGTCGTGGGTTCAAGGACATTATATTATTCACTAAGCTTGAGTACTGTTAAGCTATCTGGTATCTTTATTATAATGTTCCTATAACTAGTGTTGAATCTGTTCAAAGGAAGTTTTTGAAATACTTATTATTCAAAGTAAATGGTGTCTACCCGCTAAGAGGAATTGATTATCAGCTACTTTTGGACAGTGGACAGTCTTGCGTTTCGGAGAACTCTAGCTTCATTGACTTGTTTATATAAAATCTTGAATGGGTTAATTGACTGTCCTGCTATCTTGCCTAAAATTCATTTAAACGTTCCACAGTATAATAACATACATCACTTAACTTTTTATTGTAATACATCTAGAACAATTTTTCTATTAAGCTTACCTCTCAATATCATGTGAAATAACTTTAACTTGTACTGTAATTCTTCGGATATCTTCAATGATAGTTTGATAAGTAATAAAGCAATTGTTTGTAACTATTATGACAATGCTCGAGTTTTTTATTTTATTCTATTTTTATTGATTTTTTATTTTCAGTTTTTTATATGATACTTGTTATTTTATAATTTTTTATTTTTCATGTCACTTTTACTACTTATATTGTTAATAATTAATTAGGTTGCTCTGTAAAGGGATTTATATCTGTTGGGCAATAAAGGCTATTATTATTATTATAAGTCTGTGGTACGCTCGACAAATGGTGGCAGTTTATTTTAAGTATTTTTCCTACTATTTATAATAAAATTATGATTTAATAACCATTAGAATCCTTATTTTTTGTATTTAGTAATAAATTGGGAATGTGAGGGCGTATTTTCCATATTTTCGTAGGGGTAATTGGAGATTATATATTTTTATGTTTCCAAAATTGCATTTTAGTTTTCAAATCTCAACTAATTTTATGACATGGGGTTCAATTTAAAAAATGAATGTTAAGGTTGACAAGGGGTTGATTTGGGTTCAGCCTTTTAAAAGATTTTTCCTCCTATATACATTATATATTTTTTAAATTCTGTTCTCTCAAGTATTGACTCTTTTTTTGCTTTACAAATACAATAATTTTTTAATATTTTGTAAGTAATCTCACTTTTTTTTTCCAAAGTTATTGACTTAAACCTCATTTTATTAAATTGTCCTACATTGTGATCCCATTATACTAAATACTTCTAGATATTTGTGTATCTTTTATGTAGCTATGTATTTGTATTTTCGAGATACACATTTTTTTACGATTTTTGTATTCCTTTTTCAATAATACAACATTTTTACAACCTTCAGTACGACCGCATGATAAACATGTGTCACCCAATCCACAAACGCTACAACGTTGCCATTACTAAAAACTTGGGTAAATACATGGACGCCATCGTTGTTGACACTGAGCATACCGGTAGACAATGTATCAAATATCTCAAGGAACAAATGTTGGAACCAGAGACTTTCCTTCCACTCGATTACCTTCAAACCAAACCTATCAAAGAACGATTGAGGAACATTACTGAACCAAGAGGTTAGGAGTAGCTGCATAATAAATAATAGATTTGTTCCTACAATGATCAGAAACCAGGATTATGAGCAGTAGATTATTGGGAATGTCAAATATTTGTTTCTGATCATTATTGGAACATATCTTATATTTAAATTAAGAAAGAAGGCTTCAACTGTGTCTACCACATAATAGTAGATAAAGAACAACTACTAATGACTCCAAAACTAATTTTTATCAGAAACCAATTGTTCTTGGGCCTTTTTTCTTAATGCATCTCTATTTTAGTTTAATAATATTCACTTTTTGAAGGTGTTAAACTAATTTACGACGTGCTGCAATTCGAACCCGAGGCCATCGCCAGAGCCGTTATGTTCGCCACAAATAACGCTTTGGTTTGCGAAACTCCGGAAGACGCTATGAAGGTTGCGTATGAACTCGGAGGTAGACTCGATGCTGTCGCTTTAGACGGAACATACTATCAGAAATCCGGTATCATTTCCGGAGGTAGTTTGGATCTCGCAAGAAAAGCGAAAAGATGGGACGAGAAACACATGGCGCAGTTGAAAGCTCAAAAGGTAAATAATAATTATTTTGCAAACAACTCCCACTAAGTATATGCAAGATATTTAATGGTAATGTATAAAAACGTGTTTAATACTTTTAGGAAAAGTTAACAGACGAGTTGAGAGAGGCTATGAAGCAATCAAGAAAGGAATCTGAATTGAATACAGTTGACTCCCAAATTAGAGGAACTGAGACTCGTTTAAGAATGACCAAGACTGATATGGAGTCAACGGTGAGTAAAAAAATCATTACTATACAAGAAAGACTTTTTTATAAATGTTGTTATTGTATGTTAATCTTAATGTATTAATTTATATCTATTGTTTCTTGTAGAAAAAACAAAAAAACTTGGTCGAACGTGAACTCGGTCGTCTGGATGAAGAAATGAAGAAGTACGGTCCGCAGTTTGAAGCGATCGAAAAGAGCATGCAGAATCGAGAACAAGAAATCGAAGAAATTAAATTGAAGATGAACAGCGTCGAAGATGTAGTTTTTTCAGATTTTTGCAGGGAAATTGGAGTGAAAAACATCAGACAGTACGAAGACAGAGAATTAAGAGCGCAGGAAGAACGAAAGAAGAAAAGATTCGAATTCGAGAAGCAGATCAATAAAATCACAAGTAATTTAGATTTTGAGAGAAGCAAAGACACTCAAAGTAAGTGAATTTTATTAATTTTTGATATAATTTCATGATTATTATTATTTCTTTTATTTAGCTAGTTTGCTAATATCACAGAATACAAATTTAGTAAAAATATACATGTAAGTCAAAACATAGATAATTTAGATAAAATTAAAGGGTTAGGTGTAGTCAGAGACATGAAAAAAATGACAATTTTAAATATTTTTTTTTGCCAGTAAATTATTTTATTTTATAAAAGTAAAAACATAGCATCATTAAATAAAGTTTCGACTTGACAGAAATTAAAAAAAAAACTAATATTTAAAGTAATGGCTGTTTGTGTTGATCCAGTTCCAATTGAAGTTCCTGGCGATGACCATCACTTATCCTTGGAGATTCATCTAAAATCAATCGAACAAAAAAAATATTTTTATTAATAGATAATCTAGTGCCTGATCGAAGGATTTTTTTTTTAATTTCGATTTTTTATAAACAATTACCTGTTGTTTTTTTTTTCCGAAAATCTGGAAAACATTTTCCTAATAGGGTTTCCAAAATCATTTAAAAAATCATATCGTCCGAACGGGTGGAGCGATTTTAATGAAACTTGGACCGAAGGTGTAAACCCACGGGACGCTTCTAAAAAAAAATTCTGCGTTAAAATCTGTTTGGCGGTTTCCATGGCAACCGCGAAAATGCACCCAAAATCGTGTTTTTCGTTCTACGGCGCCACTCTCAGCCAATTGGAGACCCTTAGAAAGGGTGGTTGTGTTAGTGGTAGATGCCCTAGATATCCAAGGTGGCCCAAAAAATATGAGAATTGTCAGCTGTCACTTTTTTATGACGTTTTGAAAAATTTTTTTTGGTTTTTCGACGGTTTATTACAAACAAATAATTTTTTTATTTTAAAAAATCGCACTGTCCGAACGGATGGACTGACGGAGTAGACACAGGAGACGCTTTTTAATCAAAAATCGGCGCCAAAATCCGTTCGGCGGTTTCCATGGCAACCGTGAAAAACTACCAAAAATCGTGTTTTTCTACTCTTTTTGTTTTTTTCAACGGTTTATTATAAACAAATAATTTTTTTAATATTTTTCTGAAACATCCTTTGCCCCTCTCTAACTCACCACGTACACTTAGAAAATTCGTCGGGCGTCATTTTTTTTCGGCCAAATATCGTATAAGAGATTTCCGGACGAAACATCCCGTCAGCGTCTCCGAAGGGGTCGCTGCACAATATATAATCACTTTTTATATGTTTTTATCCTGTCCGCGTCCTCTACTAATTCTTTAAGAGAAAGTAACAGTCGTAATATTATAAATATTAAACATAAATTATATGATCATCAACTTTACTTCTTCCCCTAATTCTATCGAAATATTTACTTTTACTCCTTCCTTTTGAGAGAAAAAGTAACAGTCGTCTTACCAAATCTCCTCCTCTTCTTTTTTTTTCAACTCTACTTCATTCACTAATTTTATCAAAATATTTATTTTTACTCTTCCTTCTTTTTTAAAGAGGAAGTAACATTCGTTTTACCAACTCTCCTCTCTTCAACTTTTTTATTTCCTCTAATTCCTCTAATTTGATAACAGTGTTGGCATGATCTATGAATCTCATCTTCTTGTCAATCATTACCCCTAAGTATTTGAATTTTTCTACTAACTGTATAGAATTTCCTCCAATTGTTATGTTATATTGTTTATCAACAAAGTGAGTATAGTTATAGTTGCTACTTATCAGCATACATTTTGTTTTATTTGTGTTAATTTTCAACAAATTATTGCAACACCATTTATAAACATTTGGAGTGAGGGTAGCCATATGTGAGTAGTAGGGATTAAGTGTAAGGTGTTAAAGAAAAGGTCCTTTATTTCTCATATAAAGGACCTTTTAAAGGAAACCCATATAGGAGACCCATATAAAGGAAATTTTATATGAGAAATAAAGGACCTTTTCTTTAACCCCTTACCCTTAACATTTATAAACATGTTGCAGTGTTTTATTAACAACTCTTATCAAGTTATCTGAATCCTTACAAGAAAAGTATATTAGGGCATCATCAGCAACAGATGAATGTCACATTGATTCTTGAAATCAACAATGTCATTGATATACACTAAAAACAACAGGGGACCCAATATACTTCCTTGCGGAACACCTCTAATATAGTTAATTTCCTCTGACAAAATATTATTTACTTTTAACTTTTGTTTCCACATTTCCTTTGAATTTCCCCTACTTTCGTAAATATTTGTTTACTTTTTTCTGTTCTAATTACGTTAACGGTCCCATTTCTATGCATTTTGTATTCATTTCAATTATTTACTGTTTTTTCTTGTGAATAATTTTTATATGCAAAAAGTCTCTGTACTTTGTGACAGCTTTTACATTTTCGTTCCACTATTTTTCAATTTTGGAAATATTTTTTTTTGGCGCTACAGAATCTAATACGTTTAAAATATTTGTTACAAAAATTATCATATTTTGCATTAATGAAAGTTTGTTATTAATTAAATCAAAATTTTATAGATAATGTAAGCCGTTGGGAACGTACTGTAAACGACGAAGAAGAAAAACTAGAAACCTGCAAGAAACAGGAAGCCAAACAAAGAGACGAAATCGATAAAGACCTTCAACAAGTCGAACAACTAAAAGTGTTGAGATTGAACAAGAAACAAGAAGTCGAAGCTGCCGATGACGAAGTCGGAAAAGCGAGAAGAGAAGTAGGCGCGGTCGCAAAAGACGTACAAGCTGCCCAAAAGGCGGTTGTATCTTTGGAAGGAAAAATCGAATCAAAGAAAAGTGAGAGACATACGATTCTCATGCAGTGCAAGGTAAATAAATATCTAATTCATGATTTTTACCATCTAAAATTGTATACTCAGTAAAAGTTTTCGCCCTTTAAATGTATTTGTGAGGTTAGTGGGAAGAGGACGTATCAAAAGGAAATATTAACTTCTTAATTTGTCGACGTTTCAACGTTTATTTTTCGTCTTTAAGAAGTTAATGCTTTCTTTTGGCATGTCCTCTTCCCACTAACCTTACACTCACAAATATATATATTGTTTAAAACATAATATTTATAATATTTTGAATAACATTGACAGATGGATGACATAGCAATACCAATGATAGTTGGAAATATGGAAGATATTGCTGCAACTGATCCATCTGCTTCATCTTCTACTAGTGAAGCTAATTCTAGTGCAGTACAACATGAAAAAGAAGCCAGGTAAAATATAGTAATTATTTCTTATTTGTTTTAAAACATTTTTTTACAACAAAAATTACTTTCATGATAGAAAAAATAAACTAAATTGTATTAAAGTTCATTAAAATTTACGAATCTGGTAAATTTTGACAAATGTTTAGAATGTGAGTAATTTGAAGTTCATAACAAACATTCTTACAATAGATAGTGAAGCGTAAACTTGAGGATCAATGTGGGTGATAAAAAAATAATTTTTCTACACTCACGTAGATATCTATTGATTTAGGAGATATATTTTATGAAAATTAAAAAAAAAATGTTTTTTTTTTTGTTAACTCCACTAATATAATTATTGTTGTTACTCCAACGCTCTGGATCTACGAATTTGTGTTGGTTTGTTTTAAATTGAGTCCTTTTCAAATGTAATTATTTTTTCAAGGATTAAAATCGACTACAGAAGTCTCAATGAAGATCTAAAAGATTTAGACGAAAGAGATGAAATTAAAAAAAAAGCTGACAAGCTTCTTAAACAAATCCATCAACTACAAGATACCTTGGGTAAAATACAAGCTCCCAATATGAGAGCTATTGAAAAATTACAATTGGCATGTGGTAAACTGCAATCTACCAATGAGGAATTTGAGAGTTTGCGAAAACAAAACAAGAAAGCTAAATCTGCATTCGAGAGAGTCAAGCAACAGCGATACGACAAATTCACAAGATGTTTTGACCATGTGTCTAATGAAATTGATAATATTTATAAATCTTTGGCTCAGAATCAATCTGCACAGGCTTTCTTAGGTAAGTATAGGTTATTATAATTTAATTTGCTGAAGTTAAAGATAAATATTTCCAAAAATACTCAGTAATCAAACTAAAAAATCTATTGGTGTCGCAAAAAATATTCTAGTTCTTGAACATTCTTTTAATTATTCAATAATCAAATTCGGAGTAGTTTGTAGTTTGTGACAATCATTGAATACTTCAGAGCGAACTGTACATTATATATTGGAATTCCTAAAGATAGATTTAATTTTATTTGAACTTACATTATTAATACACATTTCTTTTACTATTAGGTGCTGAAAATCCCGAAGATCCATATCTAGACGGTATTAACTACAATTGTGTAGCACCCGGTAAACGTTTCCAACCTATGTCCAATTTATCGGGAGGAGAGAAAACTGTGGCAGCTCTGGCTTTGCTGTTTGCCATTCATAGTTACCAACCCTCTCCCTTTTTTGTATTGGACGAAGTCGATGCCGCTTTGGACAATACTAATATTGGAAAAGTGGCGAAATATATAAGGGAAAAAACAGAGTCGCTGCAAACTGTTGTTATTTCTCTAAAAGAGGAGTTTTATTCGCATGCAGATGCCTTGATAGGTATTTGTCCTGAAATAAGGGTAAGTTAAAGAGTAAGAAATAGATCCCAGCACTTTTCTTGTGCAAATTGGCTAGATTTCAACATAAAACCCACATATAAGCTGTCAACACTGAGATTATTCGTTTCTTACTCGTCGTAATGCTAATTCTTTATAGTTTTAATGTGCAAAGCGTATTGGAAACTGTTTAGTAGCATAAGAAAAATGTAGGGTTCTTTGCTTTTTCTATTTTTATTTATTTATCTAACGTTTTTTTTGTATAAATTGTATTAAAATATTTGTTTTTTTTTTTGTTTTTTAGCCATCTGATTGTTTGAGTAGTCAAGTAATAACGTGCGATTTAACAAAATACGAACAATTCTGACCCAAAGAGAAATCTAAAAAAAAGTAATTATTAATTATTAGTTAGTTATTACTAGTTTTCTATATGTATTCTTATTCCTTAAGTATTTAAAAATTATTAATTTAAGTCTAAATTGAAACTTAAATGTAATATTCTATAGCATTATTGTTAAGAAATAAATTTGATACTTTGTAGTTAATTTTGAATGTTCTTACAAATAAAAATTGTTCTTTTATATATTTTTTTTTATTATTATTATATTCGTGAATGAAGTTTCTGAATTTTAATAGTTTGGCGTAGACATAGAATCTAATATATAGATTTCAAAAAAAGGATCTGTTCTTCTCTAAGACAAATCGTTTGAGTACAAGCCATTTTTTGCGCAAAATCTGGACTAAAAATGGCCGAACTATAGTTAGTTATACAGGTAGCGCCATCTATTGACAAGTTATGAAAACAAGATCCATACTAACATAGTTTTCTGTTAATGACTACTCTATGTTTGTAATCTCGCCAATAGATGGCGAAACCAGTATAGAAATTTATTAAATTTGCCATGTTATATCCACATTTTAGTCAAAAAATTACTCTGAAAGTAAATATTCTTCGACTGTGAAATCGACGAAAAGTGGATTTTTCAAAAAATTTTAAAATTTTGAAAAAAAAAATTGTTTTTATTGCGTGGGTCGATATAGCTCCCTACGTACTTCATTTTAGGGTCTGCCCGTGGACCTCTGGGTCATTTTGCTCTATCTCTTACCGTTTCCGAGATATTCGCGTTTGAAGTTTTGAACTTGAATATTTCCTAAACTGCTGGAGATAGAGACGAAAGGAAAACAGCACCCTAATGTATCTGTCCTGCTCTACAATTGTGCTTATTTACAAAGTAATTGAATAATTAATTACTGAGAAAAACGAAGAAATAATTTTTGCAAAAAAAAGGACATGAAATGGCTGAATGCTATTTAATTATAGTTGTGGCGCCATCTATTAACGATTTATCAAAACAAGGACACATATTCACACAGTATTCTATTATTAACTTCTCCTTGTTTGTGTATTTGTCCTTAGATGGCGCGAGCAATTTATGTCCACATTTTAGATAAAAATAAAGAACCGGAAAATAATTTTGTATTGACTATCAAATCCGAAATCAACGAATAGTGGAATTTTGAAAAAATTTTGAAAATTCGAAAAAAAAAAATTGTTTTTATTGCGTGGGTCGATAGAGTTCCCTACGTACTTCATTTTAGGGTCTGCCCGTGGACCTCTGGGTCATTTTGCTCTATCTCTTACCGTTTTCGAGATATTCGCGTTTGAAGTTTTGAACTTGAATATTTCCTTAACTGCTGGAGATAGAGACGAAAGGAAAACAGCACCCTGATGTATCTGTCCTGCTCTTCATTTGTGCTTATTTACAAGGTAATTGAATAATTAGTTACTGAGAATTACGAAAAAAACATTAAACTGTTAAAGAACCGAAGCAACCGAGTCCACCCTGTAATTTGTCATGCTTTCTTTTATATGTACCCAAATTTGCATCAAAATCTAAGGAAAAAAAAAATTTGATCAAAAAATTTTGAAGGCTATACCCTTTCGATTTTTCGTGAAAAATTCATGGTCTTCAATTGAGCTGAAAATCGGACAGTGGACAGTATGCGCTCTAAAATAGTAAGAAAAATTGTCCGTTTCTCTATAACTTAAATGGTCAAAAAGTAGAGGCTTGTTTTGTGATAATTAGCAAACTTAGACAACTGCAACTGACTTTCTTCAAACGTACTTGTCTTCTACTTACTGCATACAACGTTTCGTCCAAATCGGAGCAACTTTTTTCAACTTTTGAACGAGGAGAGATATTGAATAACAGACAGCACTCCGACATTTAGTTTTACATCTTGATTCTCTGTACCAAATTTCAGTGAGATCGGAGATAAAAAAAAATATGGATAAAAAATGGCCGTACTCTAGTTAGTTGTACTGATGGCGCCATCTACTGACGAATTGTGAAAACAAGGAAGATATCAAAATAGTATTCTACTATTAACTGCCTCTTGTTTGTTAATTCGTCCATAGATGGCAAGACCAGTTTAAAAAGGTATTGGTTTCGCCATGTTCTGTCCACATTTTAGATAATAAATTTTTTTCGACTATGAAATCGTCAAAAAGTGGACTTTTGAAAAAAAATTTGAAATTTTGGAAAAAAAATTGTTTTTATTGCGTAGGTCGATAGAGCTCCCTACGTACTTCATTTTAGGGTCTGCCCGTGGACCTCTGGGTCATTTTGCTCTATCTCTTACCGTTTCCGAGATATTCACGTTTGAAGTTTTGAACTTGAATATTTCCTAAACTGCTGGAGATAGAGACGAAATGAAAACAGCTTCCTGATGTATCTGTCCTGCTCTACATTTGTGCTTATTTACAAGGTAATTGAATAATTAGTTACTGAGAAAAACGAAAAAAACATTAAACGGTTATAGAAACGAAGCAACCGAGTCCACCCTGTAATCTGTCATGCATTCTTTTATATGTACCCAAATTTGCATCGAAATCTGAGGAAAAAAATAATTTGATCAAAAAATTTTGAAGGCTATACCCTTTCGATTTTTCGTAAAAAATTCATGGTGTCCGATTGAGCTGAAATTCGGCATAGACATCGAATCTAATGTGTAGATTTTAAAAAAAGAATCTGTTCCTCTCTAAGACAAATCGTTTTAGAGTACAAAGCATTTTCTTCTCAAAATGTGGATAAAAAATGACCGTACGCTAGTTAGTTATACTCATGGCGCCATCTACTGACGAGTTGCCAAAACAAGGAACATGTCAAAATAGTATTCTATTATTAACTACTCCTTGTTTGTGATTTCGTCTATAGATGGCGAAACCAGTTTAAAAATGTATCGATTTTGCCATGAGAGTAAATTTTTTTCGACTATGAAATCTGAAATTGACGAAAAGTGGACTTTTGAAAAAATTTTGAAATTT